ATTTGATATTTGGGATAAAACGTTGGTCGATTTTTCTATACAATTTGATCGTTTAACTTAAACCAAAGAGATTCCTCGGATTTCTTTATTAAATTGGACTTTTTGACTTTTATGGTTCATTTTTAATTATTTTAACGTATAAAGTTTTTACCAAATTAATTCATGATACGATATATTTTATATTACAGCGAATATTACTAGTACTTTGCTGTTTAAAAATGGTTGAACTCGAAATTTATGGATCTAGTGTTCTGGGAACTTGTACTTTTGCTGCTACTCTCCTGGGGTTAATCCTACGAAAATAATTTCTCACGTAAAGTTTCAATTACATGAAAGCAAACGAACAAAATAACGCCGACCCATTAATCCGAATTAAATCGATTTGTGAACGGAGATAATATATATTTCGATTCTGGAATCAATTATGTATATGTCATAGAACTCTTATAACTATAATATATGGTCGATACTTTTGTGAATATTTCCTTTATCTTAAATCTTTAATTGTATGATTTCATAATAATTGATTTTAGAATAATAGCAATAATAATAATAATATTAGTAACAGCAATTATAGCCATGGTACTATCGATAATAGCAATAACAGTAATAATAACAACACGAATAATAATAATAATAATAATAATATCAATAATAAACTGATTTTATTAGTTCTAAATATTTTTATATAACAATTAAATTATTTTATTAATAATTCTTACTATTCATATAAGATTTATTATATTCTATTTGTCACTACAGTTCAAATATTATAGTCTCTGTAATATATAGCTATAAATATTAAGAATTTAATTTTCGAGGATAATGACGAATTAATAATTGATCATTTTAATGATACATTGCGCAATATTATAATAGCATTAATCTCCATTGTTTATCTGGAAGCTATAATGCAATCCTCTATAGTGATATGTTTATTCAGTGTATCGCTACTGCTATTGCTAGTAGTAATGCATCGTGTGGGATCAGACATAACCGTGATAAGTATAGATAACATTTCGGACAGCTTAGATAAGTCTATATCTCGTAAATACTGTTACGGTAAATCAATGCACTGACATCTCATCGTAGATAATAACAGAAGCTTGATAAATTTACGTAATATTTTATAACAATATATTACATAACAGTAACAATATAACTTGTAATTTATTTAATAGTGGAGTATATAAAAATTATCAATCGAATATTTAAACATAATATTCGATATAAGAATCTTTTAAAAAATTATGTAAATATTTAGCAAATAAAAATAAAATTTGCAACAATGTACATATATGCAAAATATAAATTTAAACTTGAGAAACTGAGCAGAGGTTTATAAATTTAATAAATTTAATAAAATTTAGATATTATAACTAAAATATAAAATACTTTATAAATATTAAAATATTTTTAATTATTCGTTATTTACGTATAAAAATATTATAGTAACTTCTATATATAAAAATCATTCAAAATCATTTTTCTTCACTTTAAATCTCTTTATACAATCTTTTTCCACAGTATATCAAAGATATAGAGTCTGAAATTGTATCATCGAGGAAAGTGTATCATCTGTCAAGAGTGTCTCAATATGAAACTCACATAAGTGTAAATTTCAACTTCGTGCTGCAGATAAATAACTAAATAACTTGCAGCAAATTTTAGTTTCGAGAATTACGTTCCACGAGATACTTGCATACATATTTTAATGATATTCGAGAGAACTTTATTCGATTCTTCGCATTTCGAATTCTCGTTATTCCAAAACAAAGTTTATAATGTCGGCAAAGGGATTTGCGTAGCTATAGCTAGTTCTTCCACGCCTTATTTCAGCAACAACTTTTGAATACTAAACTCAAACTATAAGCAGAACATACTAACTTCAGCTACACCGAAACGAGCTTTCCCTTATAACGTTAGAAAACACTGTTTATGTAGATGATACTAGACAAACACGTACGTCTTCGAAATCATAGATCTGTTACATCTATGGAGCAATTTTTGAGTTTGGAACACTTACAATTAGGCAGATATATTGAACAAATCATAATTTATTTATTCCAAGGTTTTTATAAATATTGGCGGATATAATTATATATGGAATTGCGTAAATAAACTTCACACACACATATATGTATATATTAATAATATTAATTATTATGAGCATGTTATTAATAATAATAATATACTCATAATAATCAGTAATTAATTTATTTTTTGGGAAACCATAGGTTTGTCATATTTATGAAACAATTTCAAGTTTTCAACATTCAGACAGATACATTAAATAAATTACATTTTATATTTTCTTTTTTATTTAAATCCAAAAGAAGTTTTCATTAAGAATTTTATAGCATTACTTATGTCATTGCACAAAATTGCGATTAATTTTAAATTGGAGATTAAAACAGAACAACGTTTCCTAATAGTATAATGATTTTAATAAATATTGGAAAATTTTTTCATGCATAAAATTGTGTAAATATATTTCTCGTACGTACATAAGTATATTAATAATGCTCTGAACCAGTTTATTATACCCTATTGTGCTGTGCGTTAATAATTAATTTATTTGCCTATTTAATTACTGACTATGAAAAGTAAGTGAATTTAGCTTACATGAATATAATGTTCAAGCTGATGGAAGTTGGCCTGTTTGATGTGGTTGCAAGGATACAAGGGTTGAAAAGCATAAACAGAGTAATTAACCCCCTCTTGCTATATATAATTTGCAATTAGGAGTGACATACATGTATATCTATATTCTTTATTTATTTATATATCTTGCTTTATTTTAACACTATGTCATTGTAATAATATACATCAATTTACGTTTGACAAATACTAATTTCTTTATATATTGTAGTTCTCAAATGGAAGCAAGAAACTATAAATTTTTATACTTCATCTTCTTGTGAGAAAAGAAATTTCAAGTTATATCTTAATACCAATATCTTAATACCTTAATTTCATTATTATTATTATTATTATTATTATTTAACATTTTCCTTCCCCTTTAAATTTCTCTATAAACATAAATTAATTTCTGAAGGCATCAAGTAAGAATCATAGTAGATTCACACAAACCTCACTTATCAATATTTTTCAAACAAAAGAGAATTCGCAGTACATACATAAAAGCAAATGAGTTTATAGCATGAAACATTATGAGATAAAGCAATATATTGTAGAAAGCACGTTACACATAGACAATAATAGAACATAGAAAATGAAAATAAAGTAAAAATCTAGTATACTATATAATAACTAATTAATAACTCGCTCGAATGGTTGGTTGACATTAAATAACTATAATGAAGGAAAAGGAATTTATAATATATACGATATAATATATGATTATATAATGTAGAACTATGTATATATGTAAGTATATGTCGTAGTATATATGTATGTAGATATATGCAAATGCATGGATTACTTATATGTATGCACGTTATATGTATAAATTGTATGGTATAGAAGTAAATAGAAATTATGTTTTATTTTGTGTGTGTACACCTTTACTCTACAATATTTTTATGTGGAATATTACTTATTTATTTAATTTAATATATATTTAATTTAATTTAACTTAATTTTGTCCACATTTTTTGTATTTAGATATACTTCGTAATTTTATATAATATCGATTTTAAAATAGAAAATAATTTGATCTTGTGAAATTCATATTTCCCAATCCATTTCCATTTAGAATTTATCGTTTCAAGCACTAACTATATTTGCTACTCATAAACATCACATCCCAATAAACTTAACGACATCGTGGACATTTGGAATCGATCTTCCTCCTCTATATATCTTCAAAGATATATGATATTTACCATATACTGCATGAAACTGATTAAACAGAACACAGGAGTACACATAAACGTCTTGAATTAGGCAAATTACGTTCTGATTAACATTTGAAACCTCGGCTCAATATCCAATTTCATTAATGAATCGTGGAAAGGAAAATACGAATTTTTAAAGTTTTAATTAATAAAGATAATTTGATTCGTACTTTGAATATAATTTATTTTTTGCTTTTTATCAAATATATTACCTAATTAATTTCTCATACAATTTCACATTTCTATATACGTGTAAATACATTATAATCACTTCAATACTATTACTACCGATTTAAATATAATAAAAAACGAAAAAATGATTAAAAATTTAACCGTTGATTTTAGAAACATTTCTAGCTGTCCAAGAAATTACTGCGTGTGTTACTCATTACGTTCCACGTGTACACGAACATTCATTACAATCAGAAAATTCACGGAATAAAATTTGTCTGCATTTCTTCTATAGCGGTGTTTATCTCTTGTTTCCTCCGATTCGCAAATTTGTTGAAATTGCTACGATAAATAGATCCCTGACCTGGATTTTATACAACACGAATACGATCATTTAGAACGAACCGGAGGTCACAAGGAAAACAAAATGGAAGATCAGTTGCTTAAAACGTTGTAGAAAATAGCAGAAAGCAAGAAATAATCTATCAAAAAATTATTCCATACTATCTTCTTGTAAATTATTATTGTCAAAATTAATCAGTATTCTCTGAGCCAATTAAATCACTCTGACTTTATTTCTCAATAGTACTCCCAATAATATCTCAGTGAATGAAAATTATAAATTATAATTATTTTCCAAGCACTTCATAAAAATAAATATTTTCCAAATATCTCTCAAAAATAGAAAAATACCGAATATCAAAAATAACAATAATAACAGCGATAAATCTTGCATTCATTCCCAAAAATCCAACCTTTAATTTCCCCTCATCACGTGGTCCAGTACTATTGCACAGTACTGTACATATTTTCATGAAAAGACATGTGATACAAGTTGCAAAATATCCTGTTTCGCCGTTTAAAATGGCCGACAGTCGTGGGTACTCTCGAAGATGAATTGCAAAGCACGAAATATATTCAACAAGTTTTTTCCGTGATTAACAGGAACCTTTGATTTCGATTTCGCAGACTCGGAGTACGAGGAGGAACAAACCCCGAGATACAGGCCCGACTCTTTGGCGAGTCTTTGTCGAGCTACGAGATTCACCGAGGCAGAGCTGAAGAGAATATATCGTAGCTTCAAGGCAGAATGTCCCACAGGAGTCGTCAGAGAGGAAACTTTCAAGTGCATCTACTCACAGTTCTTTCCGCAAGGAGGTAGGTATATTATGCTATAATATCTGAAAAAATTTTACTACCCCTTTAATTAATAACGAATACGCGATAAGCTTATGGGGAAATTATGAGACATTTTAATTCGTTTGAATTATACATACATAAGTACTTAGATGCGTGAGTCGGAACTTCCAGATTCGACGCCATCTTACTTTTGACACTTTTAGGTATGATGTTAGATTAGTGTCGATAATACGTATAGATAAATAAGAGACAGTATAATTTATGAAACACGTTAGCATATGCACATATAGAAATTCAGTGCCATTAATTAAGGGTTGAAATTACTTCCAATTTTTAAAAATAATTAATAACCAAAATAATGTGTTAATATTATTTAAAATATATTCAATATATCTCTATTATTTTAAATATATTTAAAATAAGTAAAAGCTATTGAGCAAAGTTTTTCCCTCTCTCTCTCTCTTTCTTTCTCTGTCTCTATCTTAAAATATAATGAAAAGGAATACTCTAAACTTTATATAATTAAAAATTATTTTAAAAAATAATTTTATAAATATGGAATAATTTTGAACCAAAAAATTCTTTCTCCCACTCTCTTTCAATACATTGAAAAGAAAATATTCTAATTTTTAATGCGATTAAAAATTATTTCTTTTAAATAATTTTAAGCCAAAAGCTTCTCTCTCGCTCTCTCAATATATTTAAAAGAAAATACTCCAAACTTTGCATGCTTAAAAATTATTTTAAAAAATGTTTGTTTGCCTCTCTCTCTCTCTCTCTCTCTCTCTCGCCTTTAACATATATTAAAAAGAAATACTCTATATGTTTAAAATTATTGAATGGAACAAATTTTAAATCAAATAATTCTGTCTCTTCCTCTCTCTCTCTTTCACGTAATGCATTTCGAAGGGAATACTCTAAACTCTACCCAAACTTATGCCCATAACAGAACATTAAATAACCGCTATTAAACAAACAAACACAAACATCTTGATGAAAGGTTTGAATTTAAGAACCAGCTGAATGCTATTTCTCTCTGTTTATTCGAGGCGTGTATTCACATTTAAATTCCCTCTGTTTCACGATAACGTGACGCTTCGTCGAAAAGCATAAACAATAGGGGAGATATACGCGTATAGGTAGCGGGCTAAAGAAAAATACAAAGGGATAGAAAGCACAATCGAATAGAGCAAATAGCCCCATGGTATTTCGTTCAACGCAGATATAGTTACCATGGAAACAAACTCTCGTATCAAAATCGTCCCGCGTTTCAGTATTCTCCTTTCATCCATCCGTATAAACGATATCGATATTCGTCAGTGAATAGCTCCATATCGATTTTAAATATTTTTCTGCCTTCGAAGGCCCTCGCCAAACTTGCAAAGTGCTTACTTTAAAATTCACCAACGAGGAAGGTGTCTGATTGTATCTATTATATTTGGGAATATTCCATGAATTGATAAGGCTTCCTGTGCTCTCAGGTTTATAGAGCTGGAAGAGAACGATAAATTTGGGATACAAGGCATTGCAAGTGTATATAGTTTCGTTTTATAACTAGAAAAATTTAAATGGAATAACTTTTTTAATTATTAAAATAAAATTTAAATATAATTATTTAATTTAAATATTAATTATTAAAATAAATTTAAATAGAAAAATATTTTTAATTATTAAAAGAATAATTGTTAAGTAATTATTTTATAGATTAAATTTCGAAACGTCAACAAATACAATTGATGAAGGACATGTAGTTGGTTTTATTTTTAAGAATATTTTCCCCTAATTCTCAATTTAAAAATATTTTCCATGATGCCCTTTTTTGATTTTTAATTATATTTTCTTAAAATTGATTTTTTTAATGCTCTGGGATTTCATACATAGAAATTGTTTTTACCTCTGGGCGATTTTTATCCAATATTTAAGTTGGAAATATTTCTTTTATTATTTTTCAGTCCTTAAAGTTAAATTTCGTAAATTATATATAATAATAACTTTTAATTTTTACATGTACTTTTCTATTATATTTGACGTGAAAATATTTTCTCTCAGACTATTCAATTTCAGATTGAATTTATTGAATACTTTAAAATTTATTCTGCAGAAATATTTTTCAACCTTCAGAGGTGTATTTTCTCATATTTGATGTAGGAATATATTTTCTGATAGTTTCCCATCTCTAAATATATTTTCTTTCATATGTAATTTATATTATGTGTAGATCGTTTATAATATTTCTTTTTCTAATATCCGTATATAGTAGTATTTAAAAAAATGTTTAAATGTTATTTAAAATTTCCAATATTTAAACATTCTATAATTACAATAATAATTATAATAAATACAATATCCTAGAATATAATTTATTACTATCCTCAGTAATTAAAATCCTCATTAAAATATTAGAATAGAATTTCTCAATTTTTTCAAACGAGTATTCATGAAACGCTATAGCTATAATAGCTTCACAAACACGGTCACCATATCTATATTCACAAATTTATCCGGTTAAATTATTTTTCACGAGGTCGTGTCGTTCAATTTTTATTAAATTCATATATTTTTGGAATATAGAGTGCGCAGTAGCCACTACATATGTATCCACGTGATATGTACGTATTTCAGAACGAGTAAAACGTTACTATATCCAGAAAGCTGTCCTAAAAATGTCACTGCAGTTTTTGATTGGCAGATCAATTATCTTCGCTTTAATTAACACGTGTCAGACGTTGCAGAAAGAGAATGACTAATCTACATTCTGGGAACAAATGCAAATCGAAATTCAGTTATCGTTTAATCACTCATCGGTAGGAAGATACTCATGCAGCCAACAATTTTATTAATTTTTTAAGTTATTTCGATATTAGAGAAAATATCAACTCAATTTTATAGATATTCAGGAGATCATTCTAAGATGAATAAATTTAATTTCACACACGAATCGTCTAAGTATGTAAATATATAAATGAGAAATACTAATGAATAAGAAGCAATGAAATTTTAATTAGTTTCTATATTTTGTATACTGTTTTTAAGTGTTTTTAAATATATTTAAATATTTATGTGGAAAAGATCCAACTGTTTAACTCGAAATAATAATATAGGTTAATAAATAGTATTTATTTGTTGACATCCAATGCTTATATGTATAATGTGATAACACTGTTTTATACTGATTTTATTTTTGGAAAATTAATTACAAACGTTATTATAGGTAAAATTACATATATTTCTATAAATATAAATATAATATAACAAATGTGAGAAAAAATAAGAAAATTTTTTTTAACTATATTTCTATCCAAGCAAAGTATTTCTGTTATTGCACTTATTATTATTATTATTACATTTTTATGTTAAAGTTTAAGTATATACATCTACAATTTAAAGAAGTAAATATTCCTAAAATTATTGCTATTACTATACTTATTGCTATTTGTATTATCATATTATGGAACATAATACTATACGTACTATTATTATATTTTACATTTACATTTTGAACTTAAATATTATAAATATATAATATAAATATTCCAAGAATATAATACTAATATTCTCGTTTTAAAAGTACACGTTTTATATGTAAATATTCCTAAGATATTATATTTTATTACTATAATTACTGCCATATTTCATACCTGCATTTCCCTTTTAAAATTCGTTCTAAATTAAAAATAAAGAATTTAAAAATGTACACACTTCTACATTTCCTAGAAATAAAATAATCTATATAAATATAGCAAGTTGAAATATTCACAAATTAATTATCGAATTGTATCTACTCTTCATCTATTATCTTCTATGTACATTCTAGAACAAATGGAAATTAATCGTTAATTTTCAACACACCTGTCGATCTCACGACGATCCATCTTTTACATCAAGTCATCTAAAAACTATACCGTAACATTGGCCCAAAAAATTGTCCACAAAAAGGAAGTTCCTGGAAAATCTCTTGAGCTATAAATCTCCTATACAAAAAGCTGATACACGTACGTGTAATGCAATATACTACTCATGGACGTTAAATCAGAGTTTGAGAAAAAGGATAACATGTAAAACCTCGTATAAAACATATTACGCTTAACCCCTAACGAAAATGCTAATTTCTGTGTCAAATCCAGTTTGCTTTTACACAAAGTACCTAATCCGTATTTAATTTCTCGTTAAATATTCTCACTTGAAGTTACTCTTTTCTGTATATACGTACATACAGAATTTGAAAATTGAAATTGGTGTATATATGTATATATATGTATACAGGGTGTCATGAAAGTACCAATACACAAAATAGTACAATTTTTAATTTTGAACGATTACTATCTTTTTTTACGTCATAAATATTGGAACAAAATTCTTTATACTAAACAGATCCAAGGACTAAAATATGAGTAAATTGATGTATCATAATATAAGTAAAAAATTTATTGTTTTCCGATTTTTGAGCTAGGCTACTTTTGTAATTACTCACATATATCTCTCGAACTCACTATATTTAAAGAATACCAGAATTTTAACTAAATCTTATCTACATTATTCACTTACTCGTCTTCAAATATTTCAAATTTCTATTTTAGAATTCAGAACACTAGTATTTTTATCGATACAGCATTCTATAGGACTGAAACTCACTATACCTAAAGGACACCAGAATTTAAACTAAATCTTATTTATATTATTCACTTACTCGTCTTCAAATATTTCAAATTTCTATTTTAGAATTCAGAACACTAGTATTTTTATCGATACAGCGTTCTATAGTACTTGAACTCACTATACCTAAAGAACACCATAAATTAAACCAATTCTTATTTATATTATTCACTTAGTGCCTTCAAATATTTCGAATTTCTATTTTAGAAATCAAAACACTAGTATTTTTATCGATACAGCATTCGATATCTCTCGAACTCACTATACCTAAAGAACACCAGAATTTAAACCGAATTTTATTTACATTATTCACTTACACGACGTCCAATATTTCAAATTTCCATTTCAGTGTTCGAAATACTCGT